GGCAACGGGAGGGGGGAGCCCCAGCAGCCGGGGAGCTGGTGACTGCACCGCAGGCCTCAGGCTGAGCGAGAAGAGACCACAATGCCCGGGGGACGGTCCTAGACCCCCACAGAGGCCTGAGACCCCAGACAGTACGGAACCCTGCATGCAAACCCTGCATGCAAACCCTGCATGCACTGTTTCCCTGCACACACACACACACACGGTGTGACCTACACAGTAGGCACAGCCGGAGGCGACAATAACTAATGACAGTAATGAGTTTTGTAAGTGCCCTGTCCTCGCCCTTCGTCTGGCCATGACGCGAGATGACGCAGTGACAACCCATCCCCGGGTCTGTGTAGACGTCCCTCCCAGCCGTCAATGACTCGGTGTCTCTCCTTTCGGGGGACCCCTTGCGGAGGGCTCCAGAGAGGAGCCTTGCCATCAAGGGGACGCCTGTTCCTTCCCGCCTCCCACCCACAACTGCAGCGCCCTCTCACCCCAACTAAGCCCTGAACACCTGCGTAACCTCCGCGGTCCCCCCTTCACCACCTCACACAGGCGGTTCCTTCTGAGCGCGTCTCAGCAGCCTCGGCCTCAGCTGCGCAGGTTAAGGTTAAGGGGCCCAGGTGTGAGCAGGGGCTCAGCCAGGGCCGGCGCCCTTCAACCCCGCGGCCTCCCCACGACCCCCACATACAACTGTTTTTTCCTAATTGAGTTGAGATCTTTTTTTATGAGTTCTACTATTTTACTTACAGATTTTTTTCCCCATACACAATCATATTCTCTGTGAGTACCAAAACTGTATCTGCTTTTTCTTATTGGCTGACATCTTCAATAAAAGATGAAATAGAGCCTAGCCAGTGTGGCTCAATGGCTGGGCGTCAACCCATGAACTAGGACAGTGGTCGGCAAACTCATTAGTCAACAGAGCCAAGTATCAACAGTACAACGACTGAAATTTCTTTTGAGAGCCAAATAAGTTTTTTAAACTTAAACTATATAGGTAGGTACATTGTTATTAACTTAATTAGGGTGCTCCTAAGGCTTAGGAAGAGCCACACTCAAGGGGCCAAAGAGCTGCATGTGGCTCGAGAGCCGCAGCTTGCCGACCACGGAACTAGGAGGTCACCTTCGATTCCTGGTCAGGGCATGTGCCTGAGGTGTGGGTTCAATCCCCAGCAGGGGGCGTGCAGGAGGCAGCTGATCGATGATTCTCTTATCACTAATGTTTCTATCCCTCTCCCTTCCTCTCTCTGAAATCAATAAAAACTTATTTTTTAATAAGTTAATTTTTTAAAGGTGAAATAAAAGTGACAAAAATTATTCCTATTTTATTCTTAATTTCAAAGAGAAAGCTTTCATTGTATCACCAATAAATATGTTTTCTATAGGATTTTTATTTTTTTATTTTTTTATTTTTTTATTTTTTTATTTTTTTATTTTTTTATTTTTTTATTTTTTTATTTTTTTATTTTTTTATTTTTTTATTTTTTTATTTTTTTATTTTTTTATTTTTTTATTTTTTTATTTTTTTATTTTTTTATTTTTTTATTTTTTTATTTTTTTATTTTTTTATTTTTTTATTTTTTTATTTTTTTATTTTTTTATTTTTTTATTTTTTTATTTTTTTATTTTTTTATTTTTTTATTTTTTTATTTTTTTATTTTTTTATTTTTTTATTTTTTTATTTTTTTATTTTTTTATTTTTCAATTACAGTAGACATTCAATATTATTCCATTTTAGTTTCAGGCACGCAGCATATGGTTAGGCACTTATATAACTTACGAAGCGTTCTCCCCGGTAAGTGTGGTGCCCACCTGGCACCGTGCATAGTTATTACCACATTACTGACTATATTAATACCCTGTGCTTACTTCAAAGCTGAGAACTTCCACCTTTTCCCTTAAAGCCGTGGTCGGCAAACTGCGGCTCTCGAGCCACATGCGGCTCTTTGGCCCCTTGAGTGTGGCTCTTCCTAAGCCTTAGGAGTACCCTAATTAAGTTAATAACAATGTACCTACCTATATTGTTTAAGTTTAAAAAATTTGGCTCTCAAAAGAAATTTCCATCGTCGTACTGTTGATATTTGGCTCTGTTGACTCATGAGTTTGCCGACCACTGGCTAAAGGAAGCACTTTGCAGCTTCTCTGTGTGCATCCGAATGGCCAGCGTCACGTCACTACTCTTGCCCTTTGGGGCCGTTCTTATGAAGTAAAATCCGGGTGACCTGAACACACCCACTGGGACACCCGACAGTCGATCTGGTGACCGAGGTGCTGCTGAGTGAGTAGCAGGCGGGAGTGTCTACAGCAGGGAGACGTGGGTGGACCAAGGGGTCACTCACACCCCGATCGGGACCGAGCGGGGCATTTCATCACGCTACTCAGAACGGTGCACATTTTAAAATCCACCAGTTTACTTCTGGAATCTTCCCTTTAATATTTTTGGATCACGGTTGACCATGGGTAGGTAAGTGAAACCATGATAATGGAAACTGTGGATAAGTGGGGGGGACTGTTTTAATTAACTATTAAGCTCTAGCCCGGCCGGTGTGGCTCAGTGGTTGAGTGACGACTCATGAACCAAGAGGTCACGGGTTCGATTCCTGGTCAGGGCACATGCCCAGGTTGGAGCCTGTAGGAGGCAGCTGGGATTACCTAGGGAGAGAAAGAACAATAAAGAGGAAATCCCGCTGCCAGGCACAGCTGCAGTAGGAGCCAAGAGGGCAGCCACAAAGGGGAGGTGTCCAATCTGGGGAAAGACCTGCCTGGTTAGGGGGCGGGCCCAGCACAAGCCACAGAGGATTAGGAAAGAGATGGGTCAGTTCCAAAGAGCTGGTCCTTCCCCAGCCCAAGGTAATGTAATAAGGTTTCACAAAGGCCCCTCTCTCCCTAACACAGTGGTTCTCAACCTTCCTAATGCTGCGACCCTTTCATACAGTTCCTCATGTTGTGGTGACCCCCAACCATAAAATTATTTTCGTTGCTACTTCATAACTATAATTTTGCTACTGTAATGCATCGTAATGTAAATATCTGATATGCTGGATGTATTTTCATTGTTACAAATTGAACATAAAGCATCATGATTAATCACAAAAACAATATGTAATTATATATGTGTTTTCCAATGGTCTTAGGCGACCCCTGTGAAAGGGTCGTTCAACTCCCAAAGGGGTCGAGACCCACAGGTTGGCGACCCTCAGGTTGAGAACCGCTGCCCTAACACGTGTTCACTTGCCCCTTGGTTCATGCATTTTTCTCTCCATAGCAGCCTCGCAGGCCTAGCCGCTGCTGGGCCCAGGCACGGGCTCCACGTGTGGGCCCAGCACAAGCCTGGGCTGTGGGAGCACAGTAGCGGCCAGAGCGCAGCAGGGAGCATGGACTAAGCCAGCCATGCTCTGTGGGGACACAGACGGGGCTGGACTAAGCTCTGGCCTGGGCGGAGGTCATGGCACAGAACTTCTGGACCCTGGCACGGATGAGATACAGCCTCCAGGCACCTGGGGGCCGTCTTTCATTTCTGCCCCAATAAATCTTTATACATATACTAGGGGCCTGGTGCACAAAAATTTGTGCACTGGGGAGGGGGTTCCCTCAGCCCAGCTTGCCCCCTATCACATACTGGGAGCCCTAGGGGATGTCCTACTACCTGCTCCCTGCTCCCTTGGGGAGTGGGCCTAAGCCACAGTCTGGCCACCCTTTGTGGGAGTCGAACGGGCTGATCAGGGGAAGGCACCAGCCCCATCACCACACTGTTGCAGCCACTGCAAGTCAACAATTGCTGGCTGGCTCGCCCTGGTTCCCCGCCTCTGCCGCCATCAACAATCCTTGGCTGGCTCCTCCC